GCGAGTTATTGAAGAATTGGGGAGTAATTTTATATATGAATTATACTTTTTAAAAATATTTTGCATACTTAGGTGACGATTTTTGTTTAATAAATGTTTTATAATACAGATAAAATAAGAAAATTGTATACAAAAATAACTCAAGAGGAAAAACAGAAAATAAAATGTAAAAATAAATCGATTGTCAATGCCAGCCAACAGAAAATTATAATAATTCGTTTAAGAGAAATGTTTAATCAAACTACAGCTAAAACGAATAAAAATATATAGGTCCATACAATGCCATTAATATATCTGTTAGATGTAAAATGTTGGGGATTTTATTTATCCAGACAAAATTTAATTTTTATAATATTATGAAATTCTAAGGCGTTTCTTTAAACAAAAATAAGTCGTAATTTTAAGAAAAATAAACAAATTTATATATTTTCTTGATCTCGTTTATTAATTTAATATTACAGTAAGAATAGATAACATACTTAGAAGATATAATTTACGAATTCGATTTATATAAATATCCTTTGTCTACTAGAATGATTTTTGTTTTGCCGTAAAATAACAACTTTTAAGCCAAGAAGTAGAAACTTTTAAATCTTCATTGCCATATCCTTTAGAATGATTTCTAAATGCTTCTTGTGGCTTTGGAACTTTTTATTAATAAGCTATAAGTATATTTTATACCAGTTCAGTTCCTCCTTAGTCTAATGTATTGTGTATTTATACTATACTTATAATTGTAAAAATTAATAAGTTATATTATGGAAAATAAATGTGTTTTTAAAACCCAACTCTTAAAAATCCTGAGCACAGGCCTTGCTAATGAAGTTATGTTATACTAATTATTAGAATATACAATAGATCGTTATTCATCAAATAAGCTACTATCGAACTACTAAAATATATAACACGTTTAAAATATTATCTGAAAAATTCTAAAACAGTTTTTATTAAATATTTTGATTTACATATGATTAATTTTCTTAATATATTAAATATGAATTACAGCTGATTAATATTAATGTAATTATTTAATGAATGTCGTTAATTTCCAGATATGATAGCATAGTATTAGACTGACAGGAATTTTCGTTTAAAACGTTTAAATGATCTCATTTATTAGTCTGAATCTAGCTTACAAAAAATTACAAGAAAATAATAATAATAGTAATAATAATAGTAATAATTTTAATAAAATAAGTTAGCATTCATGTCTAGTCTATTTATCTAATTAGGTAGATGAAATATTTGAAAAATTAATCTTATTTTTACATATTTTAATTAATTTTTTTCAGTAGACATTAATTTAAATATGATAAAACTTTTAATATAAATATTCCCTGTATGGTGTTTATATTTGATACGTAATGACATAAATGATCACATAATAAGCTACGTAAATGTACCATGAATTTATATGATTCGCCATTTTTNAGTACATGTTTATAATAGGTTTGTTTTTCTTTCAAATAATTTAAAAATAAAAATTTGTATACTGTATAATATTGTAAAATTCTTAGCTTAACTTATGTGATTTAAATATATTACCTCTAAAATTAGAATTAGCATTAAAAAGATAAAAAGAATTCCGAATGTACTGTACAGTACTCAAATATACTTAGTATCAAATTAAAAACTGAGCACGAATAAATCAAATATAAAAACATTATTTGCCTCAATTCTAAAAAAGAGGGGCATTCCAGATGATGATTCAAATGATGAAATATCATATGAATAACTGTTTCATTAAATAGAAAGAAAACAAGGATTTTTTGCAGACGTAAATTTTATGCTTTATTATTTTTTTTTAAATAAACAAACTTATTGTAATTTAATATAAAATAGAATACACAAATACGCCTATATTAAGAAATGAGCATTGTAACAATTGTACGCGATAACTAATGACTTGCAACTGGAGTTAAAATTACTCTGAAAACAATATAGTTTTTGGTATATGTGCGAAGTTAAGCTAACTGGGATTAAGTTCCAACTGCGTATAACACTAAATTACAATTATCTTAATCCACGACTGACGGATACTATTTCGGCACTCTGCATAGAGTATTGTTGTGCTTCATCGCTTTGTAGATAACTGTTTTCATTTCTCGAAAATTATTAAATATACTTTTGAAGATAAACAATAAAACAAGAAGAAATAAAATATCTTTAGATATCAAATAACATGTTATAATTAATAAATAGCAAAAAAATTTAATATTTTATCATTAAAAACGCAGTTGTTAAACGTTTTCGTTTTGTTAAATTTTAAAATGAATTAAAATCAATTTGTAATGAGAGTAAAAATCATAACTTTAACCAATTATAAATTTTTTAACGAAAATATAACATTCTTTAAAATTCCCTGACAATTATGAATTAGTAAATGAATCCAAATAAAGTCTAATTTCAAAAACATATTTATCTGTTATGATAAATTAAGATAAAATAAGTAAATATTTCAAATATAATTACCAGAGTAAATTTCAAATAATTAAAAATCTACACAATGAATAAAATTAAACACGGTAATCATATAATGAAAATAATATTGATATATTTTTATTAACTTCTAATTTATAAAATATACAAATATTAATTTATAAATACAGCACTAACGTATTCATGCAATTTAAAATATATAATTTTTAATAGATAATAAATTTCTATTATTGATTAAGTAAAAGATAAATTATGATTTTGTTTTTAATTTAACAACTTTAAAGTAATTTTTTCCGAAGAATAAATATTTACACTGTACTTAGAAATATTTTTTTATTATTTACTATATTTATCCTACTTATTTACTATACTTTTCGAAGTAGACGTAACTTTAAATAAATCAAATACTTTTAAAAATAAGTCATAAAGTTATCTTTAATACTAGTTTAAAAAATCGAGCATATTTTCAAGTTAATGGTTGTAATAAATTTTTAAATTTAAACTTAATTTTTTTTTTAAATAAGAAAAGTTTATTTAAAAACACGATAGCGCACGATAGTAACCTGAACTTTTTCAAAAGATTTTATTTTATAAATAAAGATTTATAATACTGTGTTAATGTATGATTTAAAATTTAAGCAGTCTTTGAAAATTCAAATTTTTACTAGTTACAAAATTGATTAGAAGTAACAAGCTAGCAAATTTATATTAATAAGTCTAGATCGAGATCCTTTAACTTGACTCTTCTCAGAACCTTTTAACTTAAGCAATAAATTTACTAATTAATAGATTTATAATGGTTAATTGCGGTTCTACTTTTGGGATGAGATCTTATTTAGTTATGGATTAATTGAGATTAACTGAACGATTTATTTCTGGCAGAAACCAGTGAAATAATAATTTTAAAACTAATGATACTTACGTTTACATTTAATCAATGTGAATAGTAATTTCTGAGACAATACATAATTAAATGATATTTTTCTTCTTCAAGGACATCAGAACATTATTTCAATGCGTAATAGAACTCTTTCAATGACAACGAATATATTCTATTTATAAAAATTAATTACTATTCATACTTTTACATCATATACTTTTAAATAAATAAGATAATACATATTATCTGTTTTATCTTACTAAAATAATTCCTCGTAAAATTAATGCGTAAATAATTTATTAAATATTTTTAAAAGAAGAAAGCTTAAAGAACGAAAGTTAAGTTCGTCATTAATAAAACATTACTTTTACTGGATAAAGTATTTTATTTTTGTCAATAACGATTTTCTAGTAACGTATAAATTGGAAATTTTAAATTTAATCTGTTTTTAATTTTAAAAAATATTGTTGACGGATTGTTAAATATTTAAATAAGTTTTTACAGACAATTAAAGCTCGCATAGGCCTTTTTTCAAGTTATATGAATGTACTGTACATTGTTTCTTATATTCTTAAAAATGAATATTTAAAGTATTTACATAGATATAATTTATTCAAAATGGCGAATTTTTATATACTATTCACATAAAACTTATAAGAATATATATCAATGTATAAATATTAATATTATTATTTGATTGATCCATCTGTACTTATGAGTAAGAAGTGATATTCTTTACTTAATTTGATTGNAAAGGGCCATAGTTAACGAGAAAATAAACAGTGTCATCGTACACTGCATCTTGCTTTTCAGGCGCCAAACTTTCGGCACATACCAAATAGAAAATGTATTATTATTATTTGATTGATCCATCTGTACTTATGAGTAAGAAGTGATATTCTTTACTTAATTTGATTGAATATCTTTGTTATTCTTTCTACAAAACGCAGAAAAAATTATTCTTAAAATAAAATTCACTTAACTTGTTTTCTATGGAAAAATCTTATTTAAACATAAATGTATAATCTTGTTTATATAGTTCATTTTCTAATGTTATATGCTGAAAATTAAATGCGGAATAGTTAGATAGGATTAGCGTAATCGAAAAGTAGTGAGTTGTAATGCATTAGATAAACATCAAAGATGGATAAAATCAGAGGATGTGTCAAAGCGTGCAAATCTCGTTAATATTTGGCGAAATGACAGCATCTCATCTCTTAAAAACTTTTCTTTCTCGGTAGCATTGTGTATAATCTGCGCCAATTTGATAATGAGACGTCGGGACAATTAATTGCTACGACGTTGAGAAAGGCGGAGAAATCCCACGGGAGGGGAGCAGGATTGGTTTCACTTGCGGTTTTTTTTTCTATTCAATTCATTCTATTAATTAGGCGGTCATTAATAAACAAGTACCGAGAAGACGCACCGTTTCGCTACTGAAACAACATTTAGGCTGTTCTCATGCTCTCTTTTCTTCGTTAACAATGCAGGGGGGATGTCAATTGACCCCGATGTTTCTCCCTTGATTGGAGAAAACATCTCGTTCGCTCCCCGCTTCTGCCAACAAACGATAGATTAGCGAACAAATGTTGCCGAGAAACTGTATAAGTGGGCGTATTTTAAATGTTACATGGCTTCCGATTGGCTGGTTGCTAGATGACGCTTTCCAGCAATTTCGAGTCGCTAACATGTGTCGTTCGAGATACTTACTGTTTACAGTTTGATGAGCGAAGATGGTGCGTTTCGAAAACGAAAACGGAAGATCCACAAATTTTAATTCCCAAAAGATTTCTTTCAGTATTAAAAGTATTATCGACGAAGATAGTAACGATTCCATTTCTGGGACAGATGAACCGACAGATTTGAGAATTCCTTCAAAAATTAATGCACAGATTGTGGACGAGGAAATTCACACGGCCAAAACAGAGGACGATTCTAAAGTGACCAAACCTCCGTTCAGCTATAATGCTCTAATTATGATGGCGATCAAGCAGAGTCCAGAGAAGAGATTGACACTGAACGGGATCTACGAATTTATTATGAAGAACTTTCCGTATTATCGTGATAACAAGCAAGGATGGCAAAATTCGATTCGACATAACCTAAGTTTGAACAAGTGTTTCATAAAAGTTCCGAGACATTATAACGATCCGGGTAAAGGAAACTATTGGATGCTACATCCAAACAGCGAACATGTGTTCATCGGTGGAAACACGGGAAAACTGAGACGGCGCTGTTCCTCATCCTCTCGCACGCGCGTAAATGAATTCAAAACTTCGTCCATACAAGAATCGTGCTATGTAGAAACTATTAACAGATCTGTTTATCCAACAACCGTAGATAAAATCCCTTGTAATTTTGGATTTTATTTGCATCCCATGCAACTTCCATTCGTTTATGCGAGTCCTCTGTCTATAAGGCCAAGTGTTTGTCAGGAATTCTCGGTGGACAAGATTATAGGCTTGCAATATCATAAATTGAAACAGCTGAATATTTGTAACCCTTCAGTTTCGGAACACACTGTAATTTCTCATTCGTCTCTGTCAAAGCCTCCGGTTAACTGTACTCAACCGTTAATGACTGACAGACAAGCTACGTTGATACATAAACCATTAGCCATCCGATGTTCCACCAGTAGCTAATATTAAATCATTACAATCTACGACATAGAAAGGTAAGAATGAATACTTTTTTACAATGACGTGTATAATTTGTATAATTCATAATTTTCTACTTAATGACTTAACATAATTCTTAAATTCATAAAAATAGCGATAGTAACTGTTACGAAGCGAAATTTTTAATTATTGAAACAGACCTAGTAATTTTATAAAATTAAAATGAGCCATTAATAGGAAGTCATTTCTTCTTATTGATAAAAATTTAATGAAGTTACTTTTATTAGATTTTTTATTATAAATTTTCTATTTTTATCATAAAATTATTAAATCCATGAATGAAAATTATATTCAGCTATTACATATTTAAATTATAAATTTTAAAAATATCCATCATATCCCGCTAAAGAGATATAAATTTAAAAAATTATTTATCACACAGTAAAAATAATTAAATAAATTTTAATTATCATTATTATAATTTAAATATTTCAGTTTTTAATTTATAATTAGATCTATTTAACTTGTAATAATTAATGAAGGTTTCGAAATTTTATAATTAGTCTATCGTCATCAATATATAGTTAAATCTGTAGAAAAATTTTCTATTAATTAAATTGTTGTCAGCTATGATATACAAACTGAGTATTTTCTCATATTGCAGAGAGAGAGGGAGACGAGATGGTCGTTCATTTCATTTAATCTTCGATAGTTGCATACCAGGAACGTAGATAAAATGAAATATACGAGTGATGGCTGAATGAAAATATGAGAAATTAATTGGATAGGAATTTTTGGGAAAGCTAATATAAATTCAACAACTTTTTTCTATCAATATTTAACGTTAAATAATATAAATGAAACGTGAAAGTTATTAAACAATATTACGGGTCCATGTATTTATTATTATGATTTATGTAATGACCGAAGTAATAAAAAGTCAAATATAAAATACTTATTAAAAGTGAAAACCTGGACTAGTAGAGTTTCCTGTTAGCAAGGGGTCTTTTGTCCCCTAATTTTCTAAATTACTAAATCCGCTTTAATCAATACTATCATTTCTTGCGTAAATTTTTCACTGAATACGCTTTCATTATTTTTAAATATTAAAATTTATTAGCTGAATATTCTTTATATAATATTACGTTTATTAGATATAAATATTAATTTACCAATAGAGAATTTAATACACAATGCATTAATGCAAAATGTATTAATATACTTCGAACAGGTTGCTTTAAGAGAAGTTAAAGCAATTAAAACGAATTTCTATATTATATAATTTAATTTTCATTACTGTATTTAACGTTACTAGAATTAAATCTTAATAATTCATAATAAAAAGAAAGTAAACTGAATGCTCTGAGATGTTTACTTTCTCCTATGGGTTCTATAAAATATGTAAAAGTATAAAGAATATTTTTGTGTTAATTTTGAAAAAAGCATTTTTAATAAGAAAAATCTTTTATACCAACGAGCAAATCATTATTTAATAAGTGGGCTTCTTAAATACTGATTTATTTATTGCTATGATTATATGACGTGTAGTCATTACTTCACTGTTTTCAAAAATCTATTATTGTGATCTTGCTATTTTTAAAAATGTAAAACAAAAAATTTTAAAAACACTTTTACAGAATTAAGAAACAAATTCTCATCGATAAAATTTTTAAAACAAAATTCTACTTCGGAATTAGATTTTAATACGTAATCTTTATTATTATTATTATTATTATTTTAAAACATCAGAAACTAAAAAGTTTTTACTGTGTTTATTTTTATTTTTAAAACTTTCAATGCTTATTTTATATACTAAAAAATTCATAGCTCCCAAATTTAACAATGAGAGTATTGTAGACATAACATGTTAAGTAACGTACTGTACTTACGTGTTGCTTCAATTAAAATGTTTATAAAATTAAAATTATCTTACAGCGTTGTAAATACTTGCAAGAATGATTTTTAGAAATTTTTGCTTGCTTTTACAGATTTTTAAAAATTTTTAACTATATAATTTACTACTTTTCATTACTTAAATCGTTGACATATAAATCTTTATATAGAACTATCTCTTTAGCTTGGTAGCTATTTTAATGTTTCGAAGTTGTTATCATATATTTTAATTTAGCATTAAAAATTCCCGATATATTATATTTAATGTATTAAATACAATAAAATTAGAATATTATCATTTTGATTAGTCAATTTGAACGTTTCGTAATTTTGATTTTTTAATGATTTTGACTCATCGATTAATTTAAGATTTGATATAATACAATAATCGTTTATTATTTGTTGAAATGTTTAAATATATTGAAATAATTTTAAAACTATTTAAATATATGTTTTTTTTTAAATAAAGATAAGCTTATAATTATCTGATTTAATAGGAAAACAGCTTAGAATTCTTTCAATATTTAAACGTTTCTTAGTATAAATACACGTCCACAATATGAGTAGAATGATTAAGAAGTACTGTATTAAGATGAAAACCGGAGCGAATTCATTTTCAAATATCATGATTTTTTATGACACGTTTTCCATTTATTTTATCATGATGTCATCCTTATTCCTTCACCTTAAACAATGTATTCTATAATGAAAGTATGGCGAATATATTCAATTCTAAGTAAGCGATTTATAAAGTGATAATTATTATAATTCCAGTTTTTATTCTGAAGTATTGTTTAAAGTTTAAAATGATTGTAATATATTTATTAATTTATTATAAAGCATAGATATAAAAATTAAAATTTTTAAGTAGTATGAATTCATTATAGAGATAATGCCTCTCTTAATACTCACTTCCATACCATAAGTATAAAAATATTTATTTTATTTTTTATACTTAATTTATGTCTGGGGAAAATTATTTGACTTATATCTATTTCTATATTATTTTATAAATTTTAATAATTTTACCTTATTATAATTTAATTTAATATTCTGTGCGAGATACAATTTTCTTATGTGAATCAACTTTGCTAATTTTTGTAATAATGTGAGCAATTCCGATTGAAATTTCGTTCCATCTCGGCATTTATTCACAAAATTTTATCAAATAGTATAATAAATTTGTAATAAATTTAACAATTTTATTTATTGCAAACATTTTTATGTTACTTTAATATATATTTACTTGTATATTACGGGAAATATATTTTAAAAATATATGTAATTCTAAAATCTATCAAAAAGGAAAGTATTGTACTTGTTGGGAAGTTTGTCGGTGGAGCTGGATAAATTGAGCCAGCAAGGATAAAAAGGGGAGACGGATAAAACTTTCATACGTGTTTATTTTCATCGAAGAGATACATTCATAAGACAGAAAAAAGTAACAAGAATTCAAAGGGTCATCGTAGGTAACGAGAAAATAAACAGTGTCATCGTACACCACATCCTGCCTTTCAGGCGCCAAACTTTCGCACGTGACAGCCACATTCCTAACAAACCCCCCGCGTTTCCACAGGTCAATGATAACAGTTAACAATGTAACATATTAATATTAGTGAATATTAAGACCCAATAGTTTACAACATGTCTTATTTTTATTAGGACTGAGTGCCTTTGTAAATACATCTACAGGCATAATTTCAGTTGAGATGTGCCTTAGTTTGATTTTACCCTCACTGACGAGGTCCTTCACAAAATGTAATTTTACGTCAATATGTTTTGCCCTTTTGTGAGAGCCTTCCCCATTGGCCAAACATATTGCTGCTTGATTATCGGAAAATATACAAATCGTTTTTGTTTTAAGTTCGCTCGATAGCACCTCTCTTAATAGCGATTTGATCCAAATCACTTCCTTGCTAGCCTCGGTTATTGCTATGTATTCGGCTTCGCACGTTGAAAGAGTGACAGTGGTTTGTTTACAGCTTGACCAGCTCACAAGGTTATTTCCTATTTTAAAACAGTAACCAGAATTTTCTGTCATCTTCATCGCTAGCATAATCAGCTTAGCAGAAGCTTACAATGTCTATTTTTCCGTTTCTTTGGTAACTAAGCGTTACATCTGTAGTTTCCTTTAAATATTTAAATACTCTCTTTACTGCTTCCCAGTGAGTTCTATCAAACGTATTATTATACTTGCTCAAATGTGAGACTATATACGTGATATCAAGCGGGTCATTAGTGTGGCATACATTAAACAGCCGATTGCCTGCTGGTATGGTATTTTCGACATTAACTCAAAATCTATCACCTCGGGTTTCTTAAGTTTTAAACTAGAATCGCAAGGATTTGAAACTGCATTGCGTTCGTCCATAAGAAAACGTTCTTGAATTTCACGAATGTATTTTTCCTGGTTTAGTGTCGCAATCCTTTTTAATTTCTATCCCTAAGAAGAACATTGGAGAACCGAGTCTTTTAGTTTGAACGATTTTGTTAATCTCCGCTTAATTTCGTCCACCCATTTACCATTATTGTGAGCTATTATAATATAATCTACATGAATCAGCAGTAATAAAATATTTCTACCTTCAGCCCTATAATATAAACAGTCATCAGAGCTTGACGTTTGCAACTTGATCTGCATTAATTTTTCTTTTAGTGTTCTTTCGCGCCCTGATTGTTTTAATTCTATTCTATAATTCTAAGAAAACTGGGTTTATAAGTTGCTTTATGAAACTTATAAACCCAGTTTTCTTTCCCTTCTATACTTTCCTTGAAACCTTCTGGCTGAGTTATATAGATTTCATCATGCAGCTCTCCATTAAGAAAAGCTGTTTTAAAATCAAACTGCCTGAGTTCTAAGTTTTTCATTGCGGCTAATTCAAACATCATCCGAATAGTTGTACTCCTAGCGGTCGATGCATATGTTTCCCCAAAACCTACTCCACTAACCTGAGCGCAGCCTTTAGCTACTAACCTAGCTTTAAATTTACTTTTCCAATCTAATTCCTTTTTTGTAAAAACCCATTTAGTTTTTATCGCTCTTTTATCACTAGGAAATTTACATAATTTCTATACCTTTTGATCTTGAATCGCCTTTAACTCTCAATTTATATGCTTTTGTGTCCTTAACTAAAGAATTTTAAGATAAATCGTCAACTAGGAC